CTTTCTTCATCCCCCTTCATTCCCTCTCTCCTTCCTTCCTTCTGTCCTTCCTTCCTTCCTTCCTTCCCTGCTTCCTTCCTTCCTTCCTTCCTTCCCTCCCTCCCTCCCTCCCTCCCTCCTTCCTTCCTTCCCTAGCTCCTCTTGTATTTTTACCGCTTAGTTTTTTTTTGATCCTGATTTAATTTTATCTTGATCCTGATTTAATTTTTTTGGATCCTGATATAATTTTTTTAAACCCCTATCCCCGTTATTTTAGGGGCCCTTATAATTAGAGTAGGGTTTAGGGTTTAGGGTTTAGGGTAACATAGGGGCCTTTATAATTAGAGTAGGATCTTATGGGGGCCCAATATACTATAGATATAAGAAGGGGCCCCCCAAAGAGTATTGGTAATTATTTGGGCCCCTCGGGACCTCTAGGGCACGATGCGGAGCAGTTTCAGGGTTTAGAGCCTTATGGCTTTTGGGGGGCTTAGGAGTTAGGAAGTTAGGAAGGGCCGTGGGAACTTTGTCAGTCGGCTCCATCTTATAGGACCTCTAAAAGTACCCGCCAGTAGTAGAGTTTTACAGGCTTTGCAAACGAAGAGACGTTCCTTAATCGAGATTCGTATCACAGTTCAAGCATCCTGAATTGAGGGGTTTTGGGCGTTTCTTCGTATGACGGCTCGGGCGTCCGAACCAGTGCTGAGCCTGATTGGTGTTGAATACCAGCAGATCATGTATTTGACATTTCGAGTTGAGGGGCCTTGAAGGGGGGCTAGGATAGGATAGGTTTGGCGATTCGGGGGTATCGGCCATTTTGGTATACTTACCTGTATACAGAGTACTGTACCATATTTCACCATAGTCTAGCATACTCTAGCATACTATGTACTGTACTATAGTCTACTCTACTCTACTCTACTAGACTATACTAAACTCTACTAAAAATTAGTAAAATATACTCTACTAGACTATACTATACAATACTATACTATACTAGAACATGCCATACTCGGTTACGGCGTCGCAGCAGTGGAATCCAGGATCCCCTTGCCACGAGGACGCAAGGCGCAGCCGCAGCTCTTCGGGGAGCTTCGACAGGCGGGGGTCAAGCCGGAACTCGAGCATAGTATGGTTTACTACAGTATAGCAGAGTATAATAGTATAGTACAGTATAATAGTATAGTATAGTATAGTATAGTATAGTGTAGTATAATAGTATAGTATGGTTTAGTACAGTATCTCAGCCCCTAAGGTATAGTATAGTGTACTAGAGTATAGTATAGTTCAGTAACAGTATAGTATAGTACAGTAGAGCATAGTATAGTTTAGTACAGTACAGTATAGTATAGTTCAGTACAGTATGGTACAGTAGAGTATGGTATGGTATATTCTAGTATAGTATGTATGGGGCGCATGGCTTCAAGCTTCGAGAAGATCATGGCCTCCGACACGCAGCAGATTGACAAGTACCCAGAGACTCCAAAACCCCTTAATTAAGGAATATACCTTAAATTAAAACAGGATCCCTAATATGGTTTAAGGTATATTCCTGAATTAAGGGGTTTTGGAGTCTCTGGGTATCCTCAGCTCTGCTCCGAAACCCCAGGCCAGAAGATAACTCCAAGCGGATGCCGTTCTAAGGTTAGAAGTATAGCCCCTAATATGGACCCTTAGGCCTTTCTAGGGACCCTCAAGGGTACATATCGGGTATATAGATGAGGAACCCAAGGTTAAGGGCCCATACTAGGGGCCCATGGTTTCAACCTTGGAAAGGTTTAGTTTTTACTATAACCCCAATATATTAGGGTTCATATTAAGAACCCTAATACAGAGCCAGGGTTTCTTAATCAGGTTCCTACATTCCCTAAACCCTAAACCCTAAACCCTAAACCTTTGTTTTTAGGGCATCCTGCCGTGTCCGGCAGGGGAACGAGGATCGACTTGGTGCCTCTGCCAGGCCCAGCACAGCAGAGGCCCCTGGACAACGGTTTAGGGTTCAGGGTTAGGGTTTGGGGTTTAGGGTTAAGGGTTTAGGGTTTAGGGTTTAGGGTTCAGGTTTTTAGGTTTAGGGTTTAGGGTTTGGGATTTAGGGTTTAGGGTTCAGGTTTTAGGGTTTAGGGTTTAGGGTTTAGGTTTTAGGGCTTAGGGTTAGACTGGACAACATCTACTTAAGGTTATAAGTCCCTTAATTGGGGCTATAAGTCCCTTAGTTGGGGTTAGAAGTCCCTTAATTGGGGTTAGAAAAGTATACTTACCTTGGTTATAACCCTACTTACTAAGTCCCACGATCCTTTAAGTAAGACTTGCCTTCGCTTCTCGCAGTACGACATGGGAAACGTCGGGTTCGGGAAGGAGAAGTCCCAGAGACTCCCATATCCCTGAATTACGGAATATACCTTAAACTATAGTAGGAACCCAATATCCCTGAATTACGGAATATACCTTAAACCTTACTAGGGTTCCTATTATAGTTTAGGGTATATTNNGGTATATTCCTTAATTAAGGTATCTTAGATCTTACTATGTTCCTACTATAGTTTAGGGTATATGCCTTAATTAAGGTATCTTAGAGTCTCTGGGGTCGAGTATGCATGCACACCCGAGGCACAAGGACAGCAGGACGTGGGGACGTGCGTTTGGTCGGACGAGGACGTGGCCACCTCAGGACCTTGTGACAAAGTGCCTGTAATGCTTTCGTGTGCGCCTTGTAACAGCATGGAAACGTGTGGAGCCTCGGCCACGGGAATGCATGGCCGGTCGATTGCACTGAGCATGGCAGAAGCGCACAGTACCTCATGCCAGACAGGCTTCACAACAAAAGTTCGTGTCCAGCTGTTACCCATTCCACTTGCCCTGTTGTCAAACAACCTCTTGAGATTTTAGTTTTCTCGAGATGAGGTGCTACGTGAGCGTGACGTTCTGGAGCAGCAAACGACATGCTGGGCCTGCGAAGGCTGGAGAGATGACAGGTGAAGGTATATTACAGCATATCGCATCCTAGTGTGTGCTATTGGCATGGGGTAGCAAACAAGGTGGTTCTTCGAAATCACGAAACGATCGTTCATTGGACCTTGTACCATGTCCGTGTAGCCTCCAGGCGCCAGCTTGAGGTGGTGAGTTTTCCTGGACCATATATCAGCCTCAATCGCATAATGTCTGTCAACATCTTCGTTTTGTTCAGAATTCCATAACGATTTTGGATGCAATTAGTATTGCTTGGTCCAGCTGTGGGTATTTGGAAAGATCTTGAGCCCTATTCAACTCGTAGAAAACACAAAACATTACAAGACCAGAAAGCCCATAAGTTGTGGTAACTTGAATGCAGCTTAAAAGCCTTAAGTTCTGGTAAGTTACTTAACATCAAAACCCTTGTAACGACACCTATAACTGCTGCAACTTATGGCAAGTTGAACAGGGTTCCCACAACCCTAAACCCCTAAACCC